TATATATATATATTTTTTTTTATATTGTTAAATGATGTACAATATTATTATAATTTATGCGAAATATTTGTAACGTTTTTATTGGACGAGTTTCAAGAAAACGTAAATTGGTAAGATTCTTCACAATGCTGAGAAAAAGAGATTGCATTTAATTCGGTCAGTAAACCGAAAACGGAGACAAGTATTCCAGTTTCGTTCCAACCCCCATCATCCCCCTTTCTCGTCCGTATTTATTTCCATTATATGGGTCATTGTAATTTTTGGCAACTAAAATGAACCCCATCCCTCCCTTCCCCGTGCATTTACTTAACCCCATTTCTTTTTCCTATTCTTATTTATTTTCTATATTTATTTATTTATTTTATTTTTATACATCAAACGCGCGTGTGGAAATAAAAAATTATAATTAAATGTAACATTTACATCGCGTTTCAAACGAGTCGAATAAATTTTCTGTAAAAAAAAAAAAACATAAATTCGTGATTAAAATTAAAATATACGTGAACCAGATAATAATGTAATTAAAAAGAAAAAAAAGATCATTATAATTAAAACCAGAGAGAGAGAGAGAGAAAAATATTCATCCACCATTTAATTTTCTCCTAGGGGAGTCATTGTGTATTTTTTTGGCAACTAAAAACTTTCGTATTTACTTAACCCATTTCCATTCTTTCTTTAATTTTATATTTTAATTTGTTCAATGCAAACACAAAGATCGTGGTAAAAAAAAATCAAATATTCAAATTCAAAGAGATATTTAAATTACTTTTCGCGAATAATATAATTGTAAGGAAAATAAAAAAAAAACAGAAAAAAAATACATTTGTTAATATACGCCAATTAAGAGGGAGGGGGAGGGGGATGATCATTTGGTAATTGGTATTTGCCACAAAAAAAAAAAGATATCACGCGTAAATATTTAATATAATTGAAAAAAAGAAAAATAAAGAAAAAATCAAATACGGGTCACCCCGTATTTTTGAAAATAGAAAACGTGGAAAAAGAAAAAAGAAAAGAAAAAAAAAAAAAAATTCGAATTTCTTCTTCTCTCGCGAATTTCAATGCTTGAGATTTTAGATTTAAAAAAGAAAAAAAAAGGGGGGGGGAGGGGGCAGGAAAACAACCAAAAGAAAAAAAAGAGAATGAAATCTCTGCCGATTTCTGGCCTCTTCCATCTACTCCACCACCACCACCACCCCCCTTGCTCCCCTTTCGAAAGGATTTATTCGTGCCGTGTTTCCAAAATTAGAAATGCTTTGGTAAACGCAATAAACGCCACGTCCAGACCACATCCAATCGTTCCAGAATTATGTCTTCTTATCGTGTACACCCGATGTGAGCTTTAAAAACGACATCAAATTTCAAATGTTTACTTTAACTTTTAGTAATAAAAAAAAAAGAAAAAAAAAGAAAAGCCTGGTTTTTTATATCGGTTTTTATCGTAGACGCGTTTAGATATATAAATTTCGTTAAAAGATATTTTTCGATGGAAATTCATTTTTATTAACAAGAATAAAAAAAAGAAAAGATAAGAAAAAAACAGAACGTTTATTCGTAATAAATATTTGTACCGTATATTTATCTCAAACACACATTTATCTCATCGAATATATATATATATATATATTGTATTTTTTGACGTAATTATTCGTAGAGATAATAAAATAAAGAAAAAAAAACATTTAATTGATATTCTTTATAACGTTTGCATCAAATATTTCCAACGTTTCTTTTCCCTTTATTATTATTATTATTATTATTATTTTGTTTTTTTTTGTTTTTTAGTTGTTCATTAAAAATTATAATTAAGAGAACACACACACATATATATATAATATCAATTGCAATAATTATTTTACCATTTTAAAAAAAAAAAGTTAAACAACTCAACCTACTGAGATATTAAATAAAAAAAAAAAAAAAGAATTAGAACAGCATTACTGAACCATTAGCAAGAAATAGAATTATTCCATTATACTATATTGCATCAATAACATAATTAGAAAAAAAAAAAAAAAAAAGGGATGCTACGTAAATGTTTCGTAATTGTTATAGAAAATCTCTTTAGGTAATGGTAAAAAGAAAAAACTTCGAATGAAAGTATTTGATCATGAAACAGAACTCTCCCTCACCTCACCCCCCAAAAAATAAAAAGAAAAAAAAGAACAAAATTCTAAAAGAGAGAAAGAGAGAGAGAGAGAGAGAGAAAATAACGCATAATGTTTAACCAGCTTTGCCAAAAAGTACGTTGACCCAGTAACGAAGATCAGTTGCAGCTGTTCGGTTTGAAATGCCTCGTGCTTTGCGAGAGGTTCCTCGAAAGCTGAGGGAATCCGATAAAAGTACCTTCTTCCATCCCACTCCCACTCCCACTCCCACTCTTCCTCTCGAAGTTACACACATTTAAACACATTTATAAGAAAATTTACAGACACACACACGTACACAGTAGCAGATACGCACTTGACCAGATGTATTTCCAAACGCGTGAAACGCGTGATCATCATCATACTTGCTTATTCCCATTTACTTTTGCACAATCCGGAAGAGGATTTTACTCTTTCAATGTGTTCCTCCATCGTATTAGAATACTTTAAATGAAAACTCGAAATACATCCTCCCCCAACCACCCACTCACCCTCCTCCTATTATTTTCTCGTGTTAAATTATTTATATTTTTAGATTAAATTACGATCTAACGAAAGTGCAAGAAATAAATCCAAATGAATGAATAAAATCGAAGGAATATATTTTATGGGATAATTATAATTTGTCTTTTATATA